GGGGGTGATTAGTGACAGTGAGGGGGGGGTAGGGGGTGATTGGTGCCTACCTGTCTCTCTGCTTCCTCTGCTCTCTCACTGGCTGCTGCTCCTTCCCCTCGCTGGGCTCTCTGTGAGAGGAGTAAACAGGAAGTGATGTCACTTCCTGGCCCCGCCTCTCCCATCACACAGAGCACCGCGGGACAGGGAGAAGGAGACCTGGCAGAGAGGAGGTGAAGCTGCCAGGTCTCATGGGAGGAAGGAGGGGGGTGGATTTAAAGAGCGGTAGGCTGTGGGGCCCCGCGCTGCATCAGGGGCCCCACAACCTATCAATTAAAAAGTTTTATTATTTTTTGCTGTTCCAGTTGGAGAGTTCTCTGATCTGATCTCTCCAGCTGGATCATGGCTGTGCAGCCGGGCCCCTGACTGCCTCGGGCCCTTGGTCCATGACCGATATGCCCGAGTGGTCAGTCTGCCCCTGATACTATACCAGCTCCACCTATGTATGTATATTTTGAATATTTGTAGAGGTTGTTTAGGGGATACCACTCAAGGTGTCTAGATAGCTTTTCACTAAAATTACTTTAAATGGTGCACTTTTTTTTGCAACATGTCTAGGAAAGACCAGATATCACACAGGTCAGGTAGACTAGTTTGGAGAATAGTTGAGTGCAAACATATATATAAATTTTTTAATTGGCGTTTTATGTTTATAAATGCTGATTATATGTAACCATTTTCTACTCTATAAATGCTGCCCTGGATAAGGATCATACACTAATTCATTCTGAGCTTCCAGTTATCATGGGTCATTTGAAATTCTTCCATATTTAATTCTTCAAGTAATGGTGCCTCTATTTAAGAACTTTATTTATAGAGAAACCCAAGGACCTGAGATAATAAATTCATTTTTATTCACTAACCACAGGCCAGACAGAATATGGAATTCTGTTAAAAAAAATTAAAAAGTTAAACATGCATTTTGTTATGTTCAAGCAGTTTGCATACATTGACTATATATATACATAGAAACAGAGAATGTGACTGCAGATAAAAAGCATTTGGCCCATTTTGTATGACCAATTTTCGAAATATGTTCATTAGTCCCTGACCTTATCTTATAGCTAGGATTCACTTATGCCTATCCCACGCATGCGTAAACTCCCTCACTGTGTTAACCTCCACCACATCAGCTGGAATTCTATTCCATGCATCCACTACCCTCTCAGTAAAGTAATACTTCCTGATATTATTTTTAAACCTTTGTCCCTCTAATTTAAGACTATGTCCTCTTGTTGTGGTAGTTTCCTCTTTTAAATATACTCTCCTCCTTTACTGTGTTGATTCCCTTTATGTTTACTTCTATCATATCCCCCTGGCTCGTCTTTCCTCCAAGCTATACATGTTAAGATCCTTTAACCTTTCCTGGTAAGTTTTACCCTGCAATTTATGAACCGATTTAGTAACCCTTCTCTGAACTCTCTCCAATGTATCAGTATCCTTCTGGAGATACAGTCTCCAGTACTGCGTACAATGCTCCAAGTGAGGTCTGACCAGTGCTCTGTGCAATGGCATGAGCACTTCCCTCTTTCTACTGCTAATACCTCTCCCTATAAAACCAAGCATTCTGCTAGCATTTCCTGCTGCTCTATTACATTGTCTGCCTACCTTTAAGTCATCAGAAATAATCACCCCTAAATCCCTTTCCTCATATGTTGAGGTTAGGACTCTATCAAATATTCTGTACTCTGCCCTTGGGTTGAATTTCTCCCTGCCTAGCACTCCGGCTAGAGCTATCTCTCCTACACAAGGAGGAGAGGTAAATAGTCCAGCATCGATCAGATCCTGGACGATCCCTCGTATAACTACGGAATTGAGGAGACGGCAAATCCCCTACCCCGCTACAGCAAGGAAAGCAGAACTTTTCAAACTGCTACGTACCTCAACTAACAACATGGATCCCGGGGAAGGACCTAGCCAGTACAACCCAGGAGACATACATTCCATGTTATCTTCATTCATGGCATCCATGAGCAGGGTCAACTCCAGGCTGGAGAAACTTGAGTCGGTCACCACGGCAGGGCCACCCGCTGCTGCTTCACAAGCACCAGCCGACTTGCTATTGGTTCCTCCAGCCATCATCCCGGACGACCAGGAAGTTAGCTCTGCTCATATGATCCCTGAGCACATAGAAAGAGATATTCTGGAAGGTAAAGACGTCAACCTAGCTTCCCTGTTGATTGCCTCCCAGGATATTGTGGAAAATAAGACTTATGCTTATGATGATGTGTCTGTTGTTGTCAGATCTAGGGACGCCCGCCTAAACAGGAAACTGACTATCCCCGAGTTTGTACTGGCCTTTGGTATTTACCGGGATGTCATCTGTGCGGTCTATCCCAATAGAAGAGAGGAGTTTGATCTTTATATGCACAAGCTGGTAGATCTGGGCAACAAATATGGTGGTTCAGCCTTTTATGACTACCATAGGTCTTTTTCTGCAAAAGTGTCTGGAGCCTTCTCCCAGTATGGAACAAGATCCAACTGGGGAAGTATTGATACCGTCATATTTTGCAGACACTTTGCAGGTCTAAGAACACTGGCTTGTGCATACTGCTCCTCTACAGCCCATATGACAAATTTCTGTCCCAACACGGCTGACGAACATGCCTCCACGCAGTGAGCTAGTTCCTCTGGTGTTCCAGAGAAATTGACAAGAGACAAACTGGGATGCCCAATCAAGTTTCTGCGCAAGTCCCAGATATGTAACAATTTCAATGTTGGGTCTTGTAATTATAGCGGTTGCAGATTATTGCATATCTGTTTAAAATGTTTTAGGGCACATGCAAAAACCATGTGTCCAAATAAAATGTATTCTAAGCCTCACCTCATGTCCATTAATATGCCGGTATTTACTGCATTTATGTCACACCACCCGTCTAAACACTTGGTGGACTTTCTTATCTCTGGTTTAACAGACGGCTTCCACACGGGTATTCTACACATACCATCCGGGACTCTGGAATGCCCTAATCTACAATCCACACAACATAATCCCACAGCTGTTGACACTCTCGTAGCCCAAGAAGTTGCTGAGGGTTTCGTATTGGGGCCTTTCAAAGCTCCTCCATTCAAAGAATGGCGTACTAACCCCATTGGTATTGTCACAGGGAAATCTTCCCTTAAACAGAGACTCATCATTGACTTGTCTGCACCACACTCATCGGCCAACCCCAGTCTTAATTCCCTCATACCCTCCGAGGAATTCTCCCTGCAATACACCACCATAGATTACAGCAATCATACAAGCAGGGGTCGGAGCCTGGTTTAGTAAGACCAATATTAGCCTTTAAATTGCTACCAATCCACCCCACACTGTGGCAACTGCATGGAATCAAGTGGGCCGGGCATAACTATTTTTTCTCCCGTTTAACTTTTGGGTCCAAAAGTAGCCCAGCTATTTTCGACTCATTTGCCGAAGCATTGTGCTGGTTACTATTGAACATAGCCAGATGCCCTACGGTATTACATTACCTGGACGACTTCTTACTGGTCGAGAAAAATACTTCCCCACCTAGTGTCAGGTTACCTTTGGTGTCTACCTCGGAGGAGGTTAGACACCTAGACGTCCATCCTCCTAGAGGAGCTGACTCACCCGATCCTCGCACTCCTCCCGGCCGTTTACACGCCGGCCGCGATAGCTCCGCCTCCTTTTATGACGCGGCGCTCAGTAGCCGACGTCATGACGGCAATCACGTTCCGACCCGTCAATCACGGCAACTAAGTGCCGAACAACGAATCAGGACTCGTTGGGGGCGGAGCCAACAGTTAAAGAGCCAAGGTATAAAAGAAGGTTTTGTGGAATGATTCATTGCCCTGTCGTGGTTCTAGCTAGTCTGGTCACTCAGTGCTCTTACCTCTATTGTCTTTTGGTTCCTGACTCGGCTTGTATTTCTGACCCTGCTTTCCTCTCTTGTCCTTTTGACTCGGCTTGTCTCTCGCTTACCTACTCTCTCGTTCCCTCGACCTCGGCTTGTCTCTGACCATTCTTTGCTTTCTCCTTACGTTAGTCCGGCCATTCTAAGGTCCGGTATACGTACCTATCTCCTGTTTGTATTCTGCGTGTTGGATCCCTGTCACGATCCTGACACCTAGTAGCCTCAAAGCTACCACCAAGCTATTCGAGCAACTAGGTGTACCAATCTCCCCTAAGAAAACGGAGGGGCCAGACACAATTATCACTTTCCTGGATATTCAATCAAACTCAACCACAATGCAAGCAAGCCTACCACACGACAAGATAGAAAACATTCTTACCTACATAAACCGCTACCTTCAGCTTGGTACTTGCAACCGCAAAGAGCTACAGTCCCTGCTGGGGTCAAATTTTGCCATGAGTATCATACCTCAAGGCCGCTCCTTCATATCACGACTCTCTTTCTACGCTTCCTACACGACACACACAGTTTGTCCTTAGATAACCAAGCTACGGCAGACTTACGCATGTGGAAGGAATTTTTAATCACTTGGAATAGTAAAAGTATGTTCCTCCCTCAATTGACTGACTCATCAGCTACCATTTGGTCAGATGCAGCATCTACCACAGGTTTTGCAGCAATTTTTGGGAACGAATGGCTTTGGGGCAGCTGGCCTACAACAGTTCAGGATTTGGAAAGGTTTTTCCACTACCTCAGCTCTCTTTGAGATCTATCCCATCGTGGCGGCTGCCGTAGCATGGGGTCAT